CCCCCAAAACCCCAAAACCCCAAAACCCCATTTGGGTTTATAATAATTGATTAAATGACAATCCTTGCTTTCAAATCCTCTTGAACAGCTCTGATAATCTGAACCCTGTTCAGTATCATCAGTCCCGCGACTGGGGAATCCTGCTACAGTGTCAACTGTGAAACCCAACCGAATAAATGTGCGACTAAGAGTAACACAGGTGAGAATTTTCATTAGAAAATGGCTGATGTAGCTTAATATAGACTACACAATCTTGATATCAGACCAGTGAGATGCTGATGTGCAAAGATGCGAAATTAATGATAATTACTCAGGTGTTTGCAGAAGACTTAACTATTATAACGCACTCAGTATTTGACCTCAAATTTATTGGTTTAGGTGTTAAATTCCCAGGAGAAAAGTGCTCCTACCCCAGTTGGACAGAAGAATGCAGATATGGCACTCAGAAGTGAGAAGATGGAGTTTGTGAGTCAGTAGGCCACAACGGAAAATGTTCTGAGTCAAGAGATTGCCCCTCACACCAATATTGTGCAGGAAGTTCAGGGACTTCCTTTGATGGCACATGCACTAAATTTAAAGAAATTGGCCAAGAATGCACTCATCGCCATGAATGTGGTAGGACAGCAACTTGTTGGTACAGAAATACCTATTCTGGAGTGAACGGAAGATGTAAAGATTATTTCCAGATCTCTAGTGGAGACTCCACAAATAAAGTCTGGAATGAATTTGGAACCTATACTCAGAACGAGGATGATAGCCATTTACTCTGTCAAAGCCAGTATTATAATACAGATACAGGAATTTGTGAAGACGGTAATCTATCTTTGGAAAAAGGCAAAGAATGTACAGCTGATACTGATTGCCCTTCTGATAAAACTGGAGTATTTGCTAAGTGATCATGAGGATGGAGCAGCACTGGTAAGAAGTACTGAGACGTCCTAGCTGGTGATGAGGAATGGGAAGACGCAAGAACAGCCTTCAAAACCTATTTTGATGCAACCAAAGATGACTGTAATGTAGCATCAAGATGGGGCGAATGTAATGTTCCAAAGTTATATAAAGATTGGAGGTGTAAGAAATTAAAGGCAGAGAATTATGCTTACCTGCTCTATAATAAAACAGAGCTAACATGAATGGAAACTCTAAAAAAGAGTTTGCCGATATTTAAAGATATCGAGGAATTTTGTGACGATGCTTTTACTTTCTCAAAGCTCTCAGTCGTAGCAATAATCTGAGTCATGCTGACTCTTGAAGTTTTTCAATAATCTAGCTAATCAATTTATCCATTAATTATAGGGGTTTTGGGGTTTTGGGGTTTTGGGGTTTTGGGG